TCACCCTCCTTTTCTTTTTTCATGTGGTATGGACAATTCTTCCCTGTTCTCATGCATTTCTTTTGAAACCCATTCTTTGGATGTCCTGAATAAAATTAATTCCTGGTGGAGGGGAGTTTGGAAGTAATAGAGTACAAATTTCGATGGAGGAGAAAAGTGAATCACCCTAAGGCAAATTGTTTGAAATAGTTCTGCTATCAGTTCAATAAGCAAACAAGGAACACAAAGGATAATTTTACCTTGAAGAGAGGATATCCTCAAGCAATGTATGTGTTTATAATGAATCTTGCATTGTTTGCACTTCTACTCCAGTTGACTACCAAAGATATAGAAAATTGAGTCATTAGGCTGAGCTATATTATCTGCTTCTACTTACCAGCTAGGGCATGGGATTGGGGAAAGTAACTCACTCGCCAGATCTTTATCTCCCCTACCACTCCCCCGCAATTGGTCAAATTGGACAGGAAGGCAGGGTTGCCCATCTGTCAATCAGTTGACATCACAATGGCATCAGATGAAACAGTGCTTTGAAGGTCCAAGAATCAGCTGGTTGTCAGGAGCTCAAATGTCTTTGCAAGCTCCTGCTAAAGGTTATTTTGGCTACAAGCTATCAGATGGCACTTTATGACCTGAAAACAGAATGGCAAGTGTCTGACTCCTGCTTTTCAATAACTGATAAAGAAATGAAGGTGGCATGCTTGATTCTATTTTTCCTCCTAGAAAGCGCTTGCCTGTTATGAAGAAGTGCTGCCAACTGAATTATGTGCATGCACAACTGGTAGTGCTGAAAAACACATCATATTTTAAGTATGGCATAAGTGGTTTGTTTGAAAAAAAACATCTACTGCTGTAGCCTTATGAGGCTTTGCCCTCGGGTGGGAAAAAATATTGAGCCCTGGAAAGGGAGTGGGAGTCAACAGACACTCAAGGAATAGTTCGGAGAAAAAGTTTTATTTCTACCATCCATGAACTGGTAGAAGGAACAAGTGTGATAGTTCACAAACAAGCACAGGTTCACAGCCATTTGCACAGAGCATATATACCCCTTCCAGTTCCCTCCCCTTTCTCCTCCCCTTCAGGAGTCCTGCCCCATGTGTTTTCTGAGCATGAACAGAAAGCTCCTGTCTTGGGACTCTTTTGGACTGTTCCCAGGAAAGCGGTCGAGGAGCCTTGTGGTTCAGCATGTCCAAGATGTTGCAACTGAATGAGATAAAAGTCAGATCTCAGGCTTGCGTATTCTTGGCAATGACAGACAGTGGCGTAGCGTGGGTTGTCAGCAACCCGGAGCAAGGCAAGTAATTGCGCCCCCTGCTGCAGCGGCTGCTCCTCCTGCGAGCAGTGAGTGGAGCGCAGCCGCAGCAGCGGGGGGAGCGCGTGCGCGCTAGGGCGCAAGGCTGGCAGTGGCGGCGGGGAGCCCGGCGGAGGAAGGAACTTGTCCTTCCCTCTGGACTCTCGCCCCCCCCCAGATGTTGCGCCCGGTGCGGCCGGCACCCCTGGCACCCCCACGCTACGCCACTGATGACAGAGCCTATTCATAGCTTTTTGAAGCCTTCTTGTACTGATAAAAGTAACGGTTTGCCTATGCACAGCATCTTGTGAGAAAACAGAGGAGAACTTTAGCTGTGGATTTTTTAGAAGACAAAAGGAATTTTGGACAGTTTTGAGGCCTGGGGTGATTATTGGGGGGGGATGACTTCAGGCCTAGGTGGGGTCACCTGTCCTCACCTCCTTCACTGCATTGAAAACCAAAGAAAATGTGTGTTCAAACCACTTCCACCACAGTTAGGATGAAGAGAGAGGCATTTTGTGTTTCCAGTTTCTGGAATGTGCTTTAAGGGCAATGAATATGTAGTTTGCGACTTCCACCATATTAGGATTGTTACATCTGCCGTCACCCTTGAAGTGTTACTACGTCACCCCCGGCAGAGACACCCGCAGCCTACTCTCATGCCACGTGTTAAGTTCTTCACATGTTACAAAAAGTGTCACCAGCCAAGTGGGAGTCTAGCTGTACAGACAGGATGGTGATGTGATGTCCAGGGCAGCAAAGTTACAATTTGTGTGTGTGTAGACACACACACACACACATATTAATGCTGACATTTCAAGAGTATTCTGTAGAATATTCGCAGCAAGCTTCTCCCACGCCCTGATGGTCCTACTAATTGGGTGCTAGAAAGGGGAATGTTTGGGTTAGAGGAATAGCAGGTGTTCTGAATGATGGGGAAAGAGGCAGCCTCCCCCTTGAAGCCTCTAGCAGCACAAAATCTCTGGAGTGAAAACAGTCCGTCTCTTTGCAGGCCAAGGAGTCAAGAAAGGTGACCTTCCATTGCCCACTCCCTCCCTGCATGCCTCTGTGCTTGAATGAGAAATTATGCAGACTGGGCATGCTAATTTAGTCTAGCTCATTTGCATAATTAGTACACATAATTTTATCAGGCAAATTACATCATCCAGATTGATTGGGGGCAGCCAAGGGTGTGTGTGGAATATAGCAGAAATAAGGTGAAGTTCTCTGCTTTATTCTATCAAAGGCTTACTCAGACAGTTTTTAAAAATAAGAGGCCTACGCTTAGACGCACCACCCCAGTCCAGCTGCAGATGCTCAGTATGCTAAGGGAGGTTTGCTAGCCCATTTCTCTTTTTCCTTCTACAAAAATAACCAATAGAAATGTAATCCTCCAGTGACAGGGAGGAAGAGGGCACTACCTGCAAAGAAAAGAACATTTAAAATAAGTTTTCAATGGTTTGTGCAATGGTAGGTAATGGTATGCGTGTTTGCAGGAGGAAGGGGGAATGCTGTTGCTTTTTGTCATCTTCCTTTTTCTTATGCAAAGCAAGATTAGATGCAGCACCATAAGCCCTTGAGTTGTACAAGAGTAAGTAATCTGCCAATATAGAAACTTAAAAAAAAAAAAAACACCATAAAGGTGATTAAAAAATCAGGCAAGTGAGCTGTGTGTGTTTGCAGGAATTGTTTCACTCATCACGGAGGATGTCCAGAAGAAGCTATCCAAAATTCTACATGGCAAGGAGAACAATGTATGCCCAAAGATGAAGGAAGACTCGCTGGTGAGTCTTTGCCAGAGAAATATGATTCCACTACAATAAAAGTGCTAATTGGAGGAAAGCTATCTATATCCCCACATAAAACATGTTAACTTTGCTTTAAAGGAAAGATAATCTGTAGTGGCCTGAAGTTCACGGCAGAGATTCAGATGTGCTAGCTTACACATACAGAATATCTATTCATTCAAAAGAGTTCTAGGTCGCTTTTCAAACAGAAGGCTTCCCAAAGCAGTGCATAAAAATGTACACAAGCAAAATACAGTCATACCTCGGGTTGTATATGCTTCATGTTGAGCGCGTTCGAGTTGCGCTCCGCAGCAACCCGGAAGTAATGACCACAAAGACTTGATAGGGAATTCAAGCTTTGAATGACAGAAAACTCTTCACCATTCAGATTGACAGAGCAGCTAATTCTTTCCTCTATAGTGAGTCCAAGGATTATGCAGACTTTTTATTATTATTTATTATTATTTATTGAATTTATATACCACCCTAACAGGAGGTCTCGGGGTGGTTCACAGAACAAAATTTTATCATTTTAGGCAGATTCTGGCCTAAGCAATGTTAACTGTAAGCTTTGCAAACACATGCTAAAGGACAGTCATAATTGATGGCCGACAGCAATGTATGCTGAAACCTTATAGCATGCCACAATAAACACCTGACATGTTTTGAAAAGGGTATAGTTAGTTAGTTAGTTAGTTAGTTAGTTAGTTAGTTAGTTAGTTAGTTAATATAAGGTTTTAAGTTGAAAACCTTCCTTATTGAAAAGTGTCCTGTCTTTTCTAAGGATGCCCTATTCTGCTCTGCAACAAGCTAGGAATCAGCTTACATTTGATACAAAAGACCATAGAAACAGTTGGGACCCCACAGGTCACCTGCCTGCAATGCAGGAATCTCATATATGGCTGATGACTATCCAATCCCTGCTTTGAAACTTTCAAGGAAGGAGAGTCCATCACCTGCTGAGGGAGACCCCTGAATTATTTCTCTTATTTATTATGATAATTTCTAGATTTGCAGATGTACTGCTGTGGGGGTGTGTTGAGGCATTTCTAATTACACACCCTATTGGCAAAAGTTAGCCCCTGGTTGTGATATCAGATACTTCTTGCATGTAAACAGCTTTGTTGCTGAGCCCTAGGCACAGGCAGGAGTTACGCACCTCCTGTTTCTGGCTTGTCCCCTGTGTGCCCTTCAGTCAGTGAGTTTAGGGACTGATCCTACTTCTAGAGTCAAATTTTAGTCTAGTCGCCACCAGCACCACCATAGTAACCTAGCTGAAAGCAATGGAAAAATTGTCATGAACCTTAAGCACAGATGGATTCTATTGCATTGGCCTCTAGTCCTTAGGAATTACAGTTTCTGCAGCATAAAAAAGGGCTAACGGATTCGAATTTGCTCAGTGAAAAATGCTATGACACTTTAATGCAATAAAGAAAGCCAATATTTTATGGCATTGTACATGGCCAGGATATATATCCTAATCACAGAACTGTATTTCATGGTGATGGCATGGAAAGAAAACCTGGTGCTGAAAATCATGTGGATAAGCAGACGATAAAAGTTTGAAATGCAAGAGATCCCAAAGCATGCAAACCATTGCATGTCATCTGGACTAAAATAGGCTAACATCAATTATAGGGAAAAACCTCACTGTGGATGAGAATGTTTCCTTGCCAAGATCATGCTTGGAATTAAAATATCTCCATGCAGGAATTCCAGCACAAGCAGTCTTGTGAATATTTGACCTTGTCAAGCTATATTTATTTCCACATGTAATCTCAGTAGTAAAGTGGCTGTTATTGTAGCCAGCCACCCACCCACGTGACTTTAATTGTATCAAGTAACAATTAGCACCAGATTTAAATACAAGCTATGTCAGAACCCTAACTAGGATTTAATTGGGCAGCACAAACAGAGTCGCACAAACAATCAGACCTCCGTAATCTGCACAACAAGGTTCTGGACTAAAATTAGCTGCAGATTAGCACAATGGAAGAGGTGCCAGGACCTGCTGTAGACAAGCTGCAGATCTTTGAGCCAGGAGGATCCAGATGCAAGCTGAAGACTCGCCATGCCCCTCTGGACAAATACTTTGAGGCTCTGGTCACGGGAAACCTCAAGAAGCTCAAAGCTCTGGTCGATCAGTATTACGAAGATGTCAATGTGGTCTTTGAGATCAGTAAAAATGAGCTGGAATGGCAGGTGAAAAAGAAAGCTGCTTATGGACTGTCAGGTACTCTAGATTTCAAGGACCACTTTCAAACTTAAACAGGTATTATTTACTAATCCAAATTAAGGCAGGGGGTGCTTTTAAAAAAGTGTTCTCTTATTTGTGGCTATCCAGTTGCTCCCAAAGTCTGTGTGCAGGGTTGGTTCCTTCCCTCCCTCCCTCCCTCCCTCCCAGCAGCTCTTTCATGTGGGTCAGCAAGGGTCTTTGGCTAGTATTGTAGAACACTGTCAGCAGTGAACAGGCTTGTAGGCTTGCTATCACCATATGTTTCTAGACCTGGACAGGTTAATGGAAACTGAGCAAGGTGGCAATGGCGATGTGCTAATCTGGTCTAAGGAGCAGGACTGACCCTCTTTGAAGAGGATCCAGATGTGTCCAGTATTGTTAGCATCATAGAAAGTCTCAGCAAGGAGTTCAGGATTCTTGGGTTGGGGTTCCCACTGAGTCACAGACCAAGTGAAAGGGGTTGAGCAGCCCCTCACTTTCCTCCTCCTCAGGTTCGTGCTTACCTTCCAGTCAGCCAGCCGTGCTCCAAGGGAATCCTCCTTGGTCTGAGCACCTCAGGCTCATCAGTGCTGTCTCCCAGGTGAGCCCCCCCCCCCCCGTCCCCAGCCACATTTCCTGTTTTCTCCCCAGCTCATTCATGGCTGCCATACCTTTCGAAGGTAGGGAGCACAACTCCCTCACCTGGCAATGGAGCCAGTGCTTCTCTCATATCACCTTGGGCAGTGTGTAAGATTGCATCTCTGTAGTCATGTTGAGCAGCTCCTACTGCAGCCCCTCAGTCCTCTGCTGTCCTCCCAGGCCTCGGCTCCCATCTCTCCCCACATGCTGAAAGGAGAGGTCTATGTGACACAGTCTGGTGCAAAAGCTCTGCACATTGCCCTGCTGTAGGGACTGTTTGGTGATGGTGGGGGCTGCCTGCAGGGGTGGTGGAAGAGGAGCAGGACTGTTTCCCAGTATAGGCAGAGCTGCCACCCTTTCTCCCCTCCTGCACATCTCCTCTTTTTACCCTTTCTGCCTGCTGTTCTGTGTGGGGTGCTCACAGGTAAAGGTGCTGCTGAATGTTCTCTGTGAACCTTGGTCATGCAGTCTCATCCAGCATCCTTGTTGCTGATCTCTCCCTGGCTGCCTTGTGTATAATGCAAGGAGCAGAAAAGAATGAGCCTTCTTGCCTCCTGCTAAGGCCATCTCTGACTTATGTTTGTTTGCTCAGTAGGTCAGGCAGAGTTTTGGAGTCCCTGTACAGTATTTGCTTGAACAGCTGCAGAAACAGGTCTCCAGCTCTGCTATGTGATAGCAATGTAGAAAATATAAATATCCTGTTAGCCAGGCAGAATGAAATAGTGTTCCTAATTTATTTGATTGGCTGGCATGGTTTAGCAAGTAATGGAAAAACTTCTTGATAGATGGTGGGATTACCAAATATAGAAATCTCTACACAAAGCTTTTTATTTGGTCTGTTTGTGTATCATGATTCATCCTAGGGCTGAGCCAAAACAGGCAACTTCTTTCCTCCAAATTCTTGATCAGTATTGAAAGATATCCATCAGTAGTTTTCAGTTTTTAACGCTGACCCTAATTGGCAAGGATTGCCCACATGATTTATACAGGAAGCTTTGCCCTCACTCTAAATAGGCTTCACCTGCCCTTAGTGATATCAGAATATAGTTATATTGGTTCATCTGAGGAGGGGGAGTGGCTGTCATCCGTAGTGAACAGCCACGAAAGGGGTAAAATTAAGGGGTTTAGAGGGAACCCCACAAAATAATTGCTTTAAAACTGAAAAGTAAACCTGTAGAACCAAAAATGAAAAGGGGGGGGGGACAGAAAAGAATAAGATTTGCACAAAAGATCTCTCCTTGCAATGGGAAAGGACCCCATTCTGTGCTAGCAGCATTTTGACCAGGGCCCCAGGATAAACATTTGAGTGTTATCTCTCCAAAAGCAATGTAAGCCTTGCTAGCTCATTGTCTAGCGGTTGGGTGACCAGTATGTTGCACATGCTTGGACTTCAATAAGCTGCATATTTGCTTTAAATGCAGCGGAGCAATTAGCACAAAGTCTTTTCCAAAGTTTCTCAGCAAAGTTTCTATAGCTTGTTACCGGCCTAATATCGATTTGTTCCTTCATGACAAGAAGGCACCTCTGTGTGCCATGTGAAATCCAGGCCACTGATGTGTATTCACTGGGGACTTCTTCTTTTTATTGTTGCTGGCTCTTTATATCCACCCTGACTCGTATGGGCTAACCCCCAGCCCCGCATGTTGTCGGAGGGGGGAGAGTGTAATGTGTCACTGTCATATCCAGCAAGGGCACTTGGCAGCATTTGCAGAACGAAGGAAAGTATTGAAATGGTTGACTGTGAGGTGCCAGTGATCCTTTTCAATAGCAAGATCCATTTCCCTTGGCTGAAGTTCCCCCCAGTCCCTTTTCCACACGTTGTCAGGAGAACCAGGAGATATTGATGTCTTTTTCACTCATGTACCTTCCAGTTGTGTAACAGTTACATTTCCTGTGCTGCTTAAAAGGATTGCATGCTGATGTCCTGATGCCCTCTTCTCCCCCCTCCCCCCCAATCCACACTCTCTCTCTCTCTCTCTCTATATATATATATAGTAGCCTCTAGCGCTACTAGAAGGAAAGTTATAAAGCAAAATGTGTGGGCATCCTTCTACATTTCTGTGAGATCAGCCAAACTGACTGCTCCTGTCTTTTCTGTCAGTGTTTTTTGCCAATGAGTAATGTCAGAACTTTGATTCATGACTGCGTTATTTGGAGAATCGCTGTAGTCCCAAAAAGCAGCTGCCGTCCCCTCCACTTTAGTGCACTTCCCTTTCCTGCTTCTGTTTCATTTTCTAGTCCTTGGAATTGTTATAGTTCTAATCTAAAGACCCTAAATTTCCCCTTTGTTCTTTGTTTGTTCCTAACAAACCAAGATGCATCTTTCCTTTAGGATAAATGATTTACACACACACACACACACACACACACACACACACACCATAGCCTTGCACTCAAACAGACAGCAAGCTGCACACCCTGCCCCCCCCCTCCAGCTGAATCCCTCTTAACTCCCACCTGCTGCTTTAAACCCTCAGCTTTTATCCCCTGAGGGAGGGAGGAAGCCTTTTCCATGTGCCCTTTCCACACCTAGCCCCTTTGATGAAATTCCTAATTGTTTACCCCTCCTTCCAAGGAAACTTGCCAGAGTTAATTAGTGCCTAACTCATGTTGATTTCCTAGATTAAGGAGGGGGTCATAATTTAGGACGCTGACCTGACTTAATTAGCTTTCACTATGCCAATAGCATAGTGGACGCAGGTGGCGCTGTGGGTTAAACCACAGAGCCTAGGACTTGCCGATCAGAAGGTCAGCGGTTCGAATCCCCGTGACGGGGTGAGCTCCCGTTGCTCAGTCCCTACTCCTGCCAACCTAGCAGTTCGAAAGCACGTCAAAGTGCAAGTAGATCAATAGGTACCGCTCCAGCGGGAAGGTAAACGGTGTTTCCGTGCGCTCTTCTGGTTTGCCAGAAGCGGCTTAGTCATGCCGGCCACATGACCCGGAAGCTGTACGCCGGCTCCCTCGGCCAATAAAGTGAGATGAGCGCCGCAACCCCAGAGTCGGTCACAACTGGACCTAATGGTCAGGGGTCCCTTTACCTTTACCTTATGCCAATAGCAGAGGCTTTTCCGTGGGGCCACCCCACCTTTGCTACACCCTAATACACACTTGGCTCTGCCTACAGTAGAGATGAGCCTGGCTATTCCCCAATTCTAACATCTCAGCCTTCATTCAGGGTGTCTTGCACCCACAGATTCATAACCATAACGGACATTAACATTCTCATACAAACACCTGCAATCCCTGTACAACTAGAGACATGGAAAAACCCTATGACCCCAAATCGCAGCCCCAAGCCCATCCTTGCTCTTCCTTTCTGTTTCTCTTCTCCCGCCCACCATCCCTGTCTGCTCCAGGCCTCTGGTCTCTGGAATACAAGAGGGATCTGACCAACCCGCTCTGCATCTCGGCCATCCACGGACACACTGCCTGCCTTCGCCACCTGCTCTTCTGGCGAGCAGACCCAAACGCGGCTCCAGGAGGACGGAGCGCCCTGCATGAAGCCTGCCAGAGGGGCAACAGAGAATGCGCAGAGTTGCTACTGGAACACAAGGCTAATCCCAATCTTCTGAGTGATGATGGGCAAGCACCTCTGCACCTGTGCACCAGCCAGAACACCTTAGGGTAAGGAGCAAGATGTTTGGGCAAGATTCTAGTCCTTCCACAGATTCATTCTGACATCTTTAATAATAATAATAATAATAATAATAATAATAATAATAATAATAATAATTTTTATTTATACCCCGCCCTCCCCAGCCAAGGCCGGGCTCAGAGCGGCTTACAAGCAATAATAAAAACAAGTTAAACGATTACAACTTAAAAACAAAATTAAAAATACAACATTAAAATATTGAAACATTAAAATATTAAAATGTAGCCTCATCGCAGGAGGAGAAGGAAAAGAAAAAAGAAAGAGAGGGAGGGAGGGAATCAAATTGGCTCCAAGCCAAAGGCCAACTCTGTCTCCCTGCGGAAAGAAATCAGATCCTGCAGGGCCCTGGTCCCATGGGGCAGAGCGTTCCACCAGACCAGAGCCTTTAGGCCTCAGAATTAGATTTAGGGATAAAACCTGTGTTTATTTCTTGGCTCCTTATTGTTTCACATTAGCAAAGTGGCATACAAGATTGAAACCATGAAATTCAATAAAAACAAAGATAAAAATCAGCGAACAGAAAGCAACACAATAAATAGTTTGAAGTACACACCTGAAAATACCTGCCTAAACAAAGATGTCTTGAGTAAGTGTTGGAAACCTAGTATTATCAGCACTGATTTGACATTGAAAGGAAGAGACTCCAGAGGGCTGGCACTGCAACACTAAAGGCCCTGCTACAAGGGACCGGGGTGTAAATTCTGCCACCAATAGGGACATGTACATGATCAGGAAGCAGGGCATTTCTTAAAATATAAAGTGCAGGGGAAATTCCCCACCCTGTCCTCTTGAATTCATTTGGCCCATTAAACTCAAAACTCTCCTCAAAGTCTATCCTTTTTATTGTGCTTGGACCTAGTTTACATTTGGGGAAAACAAAATGTGCCCGGGACCATGGCCCCCAATCCTCCCCCCTGCTACACCACTGAAGAATGCAGAGCATCTTCAGTCAGTCCTGAGCTCTTCTTTTTAAATGTATGCTTCTTATTTTAATTTGTGGTGCCTGTTGCTTTTATGCCGTTTTTAAATGTTGAGATGTTGCCTGCTGAGGATAAGGACTCTGCTTACAATGGCAGCCCGACTCACTCACTCTTCTTTGAAGAAATTAGAAGGCTCATTGACCTGGAGAAGACATGGGGACATGCTATGCCTAGAGGCTTTTAACATATCTCTTTGGGGCAAGGAAGGGGCATTCTGCGCATGTTCATGCCCTTTATTTCTGAGACGCATGGTTCCAAATCATACCTGCCCCTGCTCAGATCTGTATGAAGATGCTGGGGGTGACCTGGAGTGGTTGGTCCTCATGTACATTTTTCTTCTCTGGAAGCCAATTGGCAAGATTCTCATCTTTACCCTCTCCCTGCCCCACAAACCAGGACACTAGATGGTAGAGTGTGGAGATGGGACCATTTTTTTGAATTTCTTTGCACCTAAAATTGTGTGGCCTACTTCCAAGGTAAAGGTAAAGGGACCCCTGACCATTAGGTCCAGTCGTGGCCGACTCTGGGGTTGCAGAGCTCATCTCGCTTTATTGGCCGAGGGAGCCGGTGTACAGCTTCTAGGTCAAGTGGCCAGCATGACTAAGCTGCTTCTGGCGAACCAGAGCAGCACACGGAAACGCTGTTTACCTTCCCGCCGGAGTGGTACCTATTTATCTACTTGCATTTTGACGTGCTTTCGATCTGCTAGGTTGGCAGGAGCAGGGACTGAGCAATGGGAGCTCACCCCGTCATGGGGATTCGAACTGCCAACCTTCTGATTGGCAAGTCCTAGGCTCTGTGGTTTAACTCACAGCGCCTCCCGCGTCCCATGTGAGGGGGAGGGCGTGCTATTTTGCACCCAGGGCCGCTCCCCCTTGGCCCTCCCACATTATGCCACTGAGCGGGGGTGGGGGAATAATCTTTTTTTCCATAGTTCTGGAAATTTATGGGGTCCTTTGCCAGCACCTTTACCTGAAGAAGGAAGCACGTGAGCAGGGCAAATAATTTCTGAAGTGCCACAACCCTCACACTGAGTCTCTGCCAGCTGTCACCTATCATTTAATTCATTTACTTTATTTCATTAATTTTGTACACTGCTTGATTGTAACAAAAACTGTCAAGGCAGTTAACAAAAAGATAAAACCATAAAATCAGGGGGGGGAATACATTACATTAAAGCATACAAGAAGTTAAAATAATAAAACATTAAAATTCACAACAACGTTTCTAAGCAATTGTGTAGGGCCATAGCTTCTGGCATGGTGCAGAAACCTCTGGCAGAAATGTTACAACTCTCACCACAATGAAAACTGAAAGAATTGTGTCCCCACATAATCTTATAGTAGATGACACATGAGCAAGTATGACAACACAGATAGTTAATGCACAGCTAAGCATAGCTCTGAATGGGATTGGCACAGCCTATTGTGATCCCGGCCTGCTGTTGTCCACTTTCTTTCAATCCGAGACAGAAGAAAACAGCCTGCTCCAAAGAGTTAGGCTGAGCAGAATTTTTTTAAAAAATAAATAAATTCAGAGTTCTGGCCATTTTAAATTAGATTTTAATATAATTTATTTTAAATTACAATAATTTATTATTAAAATACATAATTTGTGGCTGTTATGAGTTGCGGGTAGAGGGGTAGGCTGTACCCTTCTTATTCCTGGGTCTGTTGTTGTTGTTTAGTCGTTTTGTCGTGTCTGACTCTTCATGACCCCCTGGACCAGAGCACGCCAGGCACTCCTGTCTTTCACTGCCTCCCGCAGTTTGGTCAAACTCATGCTGGTAGCTTCGAAAACACTATCCAACCATCTCGTCCTCTGTCGACTTAGGTCCGCTAGAGATTGGTGCTCCACATGTTAGCAAACAGGACAAATTAAAATACTGTCCTAGAAATGGAATGAATTCGGGCAGCTAATTTCTAGCAGAAGAGCTGGCAAAAGGAAACAGTTGATTTGCATTCTGACCCCGCACCCGCCAAGGCATTTTGAGTTTAGATGCCGAGTTCCTTTTTAGAATGTAGTCCCCTCACCTGCTGTTGTTGCATCCTGTACCTTAAGGACATTTGAAGAAGTCTGGCATGGACTTCTTGCTTTTGAAAAGTGCAGGATGGACAGAATCCTGCATTCTATCTATGTTACTGGAGTTTTCCGCATGTCCCTATGTCTGTCCAGCTGTGAAGGCATCTTGGTTGATTTATATCATATTTTATACCAATGCCAAGGGGCCGCACTTGAACTGCCGCCCTATAAGCCACGCACATCACAGATGCAATGTTGAAAGAACGAAGCCAGCCCTAAGCCCTTGAATATTATGGCTTTATAATGGAAATGCTGCCAGAGCCTTAACTACGGCAGCACAACTGGATGCCTCTACAATAACTAAGCCATCTACTCGGAAGGATCAAAAATTAACAGACATTTCAGATGGGATTCGAGCACTGCTTCTCAATCGCAGAGAGTTGTGCTAAAGTTAGATAGTGAGGAGGTCAAGCTTTGGGTAACAAACATTTTCTCTTTGATTAGGGGAAACTACTTCTGCTGATTTTTTTTCCCAGGTAACGGATTGAAGGTCATCCCTAATTTTTTACTGACAATAAAGAGCAGGTCATTGACCTACATAGGGAGCTATTTTATTTGGCTCCCTCTTTGTAACAATGGCCTGAACACCTATGTGTCAGGTTCTTCTGTGTTCCCATATTCACCATGGGGGCAGGACTTAAAACCTTTGAGCCTCTCAGTGACTGGGATAAAAAAAAACTATCTGGGCTTCCTTCCAACCATTTCAACTTTCACAATCCATGAGAATTCAACCAAAAAAAGGAAAAGAAAGATGTAGGAGCTTTAATCTAGAAGCTTTTTGAAGCCCCCCCCCTTTTTTTTTTTTAAAGTTCCAGCAAAGTTCATTTCTATCTTCTTCACTTTGGGAGCCATGCATGCCAACTTCGCCCTATTTAGTTGAGTTCCTCTCCTTGACCTTCTTTTTATAGTAGTGATAATTAACATGGTGGGGTAAGAGGAGTCTACAAATTCACTGCACTCCCTTTGCTAAAGCTGGGATGATTAAAAAAAAAGGAGGATCGTGCAGGCTTTTGTAGAAACTAGAATTGAGGAGGAGAAACCCGTCTTTGTTTCTACACTTTGGCCATGCCACAGGGTTAAAAATAAGATACAATACAAATACAGGGTCTCTGAGTCAGGGCTAAGTCCAAAAAGGGCACTCTCTAACAAAACACCGGGGAAGCTGTCATAGGCTTTAGAGCAGAAGTATAAAAGTCAGAAGGAAAATTAATGGCCCGTTGATTTCATTCAGGTGGTGGTAAATGCAAGTATTTTGAAATGAGTGTGGTATTCCATGTCAATCTGAGCAGGAATCTCATTTGCAGACGACAATTGTGCCCTGTCCAGATAGCTGTCTTTTGAAAATTATGCTCTGGAACAGGCATAGGCAAACTAGGCCCTCCAGATGTCTTTGGGGCTACAGCTCCCATCATCCCTAGCTAACAGGACCAGTGGTCAGGGATGATGGGAATTGTAGTCCCAAGACATCTGGCGGGCCGAGTTTGCCTATGCCTGCCCTGGAACATAAATTAACTATAGGTCTGATGCTGTACTAAACCTGTTCTTATTTTAACTTGTCCTAGCTAACCACCTGCCCTCCAAAAACTGTTTTAGTACAGAAATAAATTCTCTTATATTTATCTTATTACTACAACTGTAGGACCTCTTGAATGTGGAGAAAGGGGGGTGGCCTATTTCTTGAATAAACAGTGCGGACACATGGCAGGAAATGCTTTGCTTGAGTTCCTACAGAGTCTCAGTGTAGCTCGTGATGCTCAGCTCCTATGCCTGTTGAGTATAAGCAAGAAATGTTCATTTTTTCCTATTTATTTATTTTCTAGCAGAAGCAACAGCACAAAGTTAGGTGCCCATCTGTTGAGATTCCTGCATTGCAGGGGGTTGGACTAGATGGCCCTCGGGGTCCCTTC